AATGGGCCCTTTTGTTTGTGTAGTGACCCCGTTTTTTCATGGAGACTCCAGGCACAAGGTACCAACTCTGTTTTGTTTCAAGTTCGCATTCAGGTAACCAACACGAATCCGGCACAGCCCAAGCTAGGTCCCCCAGTAGTGCCCTTCTCTCCCTTTTTTTGGGGAGGGTTCCCCTACTAAAATAGACTACAGAAAAACATCGGCTACCAACTTATTCTAACCTCTCTACAAGAGGGCCTAGCCAAGCGTGCTTTTTGCTAGCAGCCCTGGGTGCTGGGAGTCCAAAGTTGTTTGAAAGGCCTATGGATTCCGCCGCTTCAACCACTTAAGCAACACCCCTGGCACCCCGGCCCCATCGCACGGGTCCCCCCCCCCTCCCATCGCCCACGAAGTTAGTATTTCGCTTCTATTGATTGTCAAACAAATAATACTGTGGACTGTGGATGGACAAAATCCTGCACCACTTTGAAACCATGGGAAACCATTGTTCGTTGGTATGTATAGGGGAATCATCATTCCAGAATTTCTTAGGTGGTGCAGGAATTCGTCCATCCACAGTATGGGGTTGCTTTTTAGCCTACCTTACGGGGTGACAAGTTAGGTGTTTAGCACCTACTGGCAACCGACCCAACGCACTCATAAGTATACTCACTTGCCCAAAGCCGACCTTTTTGACCTTTCGGTGTCCAAGCGTTGCCGATTTTTTTCGTAAGGGTGCCAAAAGGCGATCATTTTTTTCTTTTTTCCGGGTCCGCAAGGGGCAACTGAGTATGGGTAATTCATCACCTGACTTGGCGAGTCGAGCACCTAGGCCTGAATTGAGGGATTTTTTGTGGACATCTCGGGTTTAGGGTTTGGGGTTTGGGGTGCATGAATTTTACTGAGGGATTTTTTGGTGGACATCATTTCGGGGGGAATTCATCAGGGCACAATTTGGTGATGGGGGCGCTCTTGAATTTGCCTGCTAGCATGGCCTCGGCCTTGGAGCTTGGAAATGGACAGAAAAGGGGGGGGAATTCATGTCTTCAACTTTTTGAGTTCGGTGGTCCCAACTCTGAAAGCTGAGTTCGCCATACTGGATGTGTTGTTTTCGAATTCCCATTTGGTTGTGGCTCAAAGCCAAAGAGCTAGGGCAAACCGCAGGTAGTCTTTGGTTCCATTTACCACAGCCATTTCGCACCGTTCAGACACCCTGGTTTCGGATTCGATTCCCACTGCCAACAAGGGCTCTGGTTCCCCTCCGAGGGAAACTCAGGTCGGCAACGCAGATGTCGGCAATGCACATCGGAGTGTGTCCAGTTGCTATCCTGGGTCTCCGGATTTTAAGCTAAATGTCCACGACTTTGGAAGATCTTCCCTTCTCATCGCCAAATTGGGATAGAATGAGTCATCTCATCCAACATCCGAATGTGGATGATCTATGTCACAACCCCATGAATTTTGGGTAATGACCCCATTTTTTGCAGGGTCAGAAGGAGACTCTAGGGACTTCATGGCTTTGCTTCCCATCTCATCGCGCCCCAAACGAGCCCAACGCCCCGCCGAAAGCACAAAAAACGCGCCCCGACCGCAGGCCGCGCAGCAGGGCGCCCAAGCGCGCCGGGAGGAGGCGCAGCTGAGCCTCGAGGCAGAGGCGCGGAGTCGCGGAGTCGCGGAGTCGCGGAGTCGCGGAGTCGCGGAGTCGCGGAGTCGCGGAGTCGCGGAGTCGCGGAGTCGCGGAGTCGCGGAGTCGCGGAGTCGCGGAGTCGCGGAGTCGCGGAGTCGCGGAGCGATGATCCAGGTGTCTTCCGCTTGGAGTTTGCCACCTCAGGCATCAGCCATCTGGGTCTGTCTTCTTTCGGCATACGCTTTCTAGACCCCACAGCTAGGTGCCCTTTTTAACCGCGGTTGTTTGGTTGGGAGGGGTCCTTAAAAAAAAATAAAAAATCCCCCCTCCTGCATGAATATCCAATCTACGTAGAACAGGGCGAGATTTGTTGAACCAGCCCCCCCGGGTCCGTAAGGGCAACCAGAAAGTTTCATGGTTGTTGTTGGGAAACATTTTTCCCATTTTTGCTTATTGTGGTTGAGTGGTTGAATTCCAACCACTTAGCTGCTGTTAACTGCTAGAATTTGAAGATGTTTGCTCCCCTTCCAATGTCAACCAAGCCTGGGTCCTCCGTCTCCGGGGTATTTCTCTGCTTTTTCCTTCGCTGGGTTATTTCCAGGAGACCCTCTGAAAACTGGGAGGCAGCCATCTGGTTCAGCTTAGCTTTTTAGCCGTTTAGTGTTTAGTGGTTGGATTCCCATTTATAAAGCTTAGGAACTAGGTCCCCCAGCTAGGTGCCTTTTCTTGGGGGAAGGTTCCCCTACTAAAATAGACTGCATACAAAAGGGCACCCTTATTCGAACCTCTCTCTACTGGAGGACCTAGTCAAGACGTTTAGTTGTCATTTTTCCTTGTTGGTTTTTGTCCGCAAGCGTGTCCAGCGTCGGGTTCCTCGTTGGCGCACAAGAGTGTTCCTCGCACAATCTGGTTGGGGTTGAACCCGTCACTACACCTTTTTTTTGCTTCCAGGTGGCGTCGTAAGCAAGTGGAAGTCAACCTGAAACCTGAGGTTCGGGGGTTCCCGGAAGATCATTTTCCAGTTAAATTGACCGGGTCTTGGTCAGGTCCCATGTGAGAAGGGTGGCAGGGTAAACATTGCGTGTGTGTGTGTGTGTGTTTTAACTTGGCACTTCAACCAGCGAATCGTCCTCTTCAACTTAGTGTTTGAGTAGTTTTTAGTTGGTTCAGTGGTTGGGTTTCCGAACTTCACCCGCTAAGAGTTAGCCACTTTTAGCAGGAGATCTGATGACAGCCCAGTTTTGTGGAGGCTCGGTATCCTTTCAACATTGCTTCATTCTGTGGATGGTCGCGAAGTCCGTTCGCACCACCCGAGACACAACGGTCTTTAGAACCATATAAGCTTTGTTGGTATTTAACCCAGAGTTTTTTAGGTGCGAAGTGGACAAGCCGCATCCGCAGTAAAAACGGCAGCACGAAAACCACCCGCTCTCCAGAAGGACGAGATGGATATGTGGCTCCCGGGGCCCGAACCACAACTTGATTCACGCTTGGGCAGGGTCTCCTGCAGTATGCGGATGGTGCAAATCATTCTCCCTACACCCAATACCCTCTTTTTTCAGGGTATTTTGTCGACCCTCTACTCAAAAAAGGTGGTATTTACCATGGAAACCCAGGTTTTCCCAACAAATACCCTGAAAAAGCGGGTATTTTGAGTAGGGGGGTGGTGCCCCGTTCTACAGGGCTATTATTTTGTGGGAAATTCCTCTGATTGGGTTGCTCATTTGGACGGCTCTCAAGGAAAGAGGGGTTTCGGGAACGCAATTTTCGAAAGAAGGAAACCACAAGGATCGATTTTAGTGTGGTCCATTTAGTCCACTTGTTATAATATTATAGCAGACAATTCAAATTAGCTTTCAGTTCCCACTTGCAGTCTGGGCAAATTGTCGCGACCTCGCAAAGGGGTGCGAACTTGTTTGTTTTAACTGCTGCATCTTTGTTGGTGCTACAACCACTTTCAGCGGCTGCGAAGGACAGTCAGCCATTGAAAGGATGGGGCCTGTTGCTGTTCGCGTTTCCAGCCCCCGATCTACTTGATTGGGTCCAAAGCAAGTTAGGGGTTGGAAACTTAACATCCGGCCGCGAAAGCAGTGGGGGGGAAAGGTAAGGGTGGTCTTCTTTGTAGGGATTCAGTTCTTTGGGAGGGGGCCCCCCTGATTCATACTGTGGATGGACGAAATCCTGCACCACCTAAGAAACCCTGGAATGATGATTCACCTGTAAATACCAACAAACGTTATGGTTTCCCATGGTTTCAAAGTGGTGCGAACGGATTTTGTCCATCCACAGTATTTGGGAACGTTGCGGGAGCAGTTCAGGTGTCCTCTTGAAATGGGCTAGAAGTCATAGTGAGTCTTCCAGGCGGTTAATCCCAAGGGGTCCAACCAAGAGATTCCTCTCTAAGAGTGGTTTTGGGGCTCGGATGCCACTCTGCAGAGAGTCTTGCGTGAAGAACCATTTTGCGGAGACTTTGTGTGGACCCATCCCTATCCAAAAGAGAAGCAAGCGGCAGGATTTGTGGAATTCAGACAGGAGTCTTAGTTTCCACGATACAGAGTACATATGAATGGGGCGCAAGGAAACTACATATTTACCCTTCCGGCAGTCATGGGAGCCGCCAGATGGCTTTTGAAAGACTCTCGAAAAGGCAAGAGGCTAGCGCATCAGTTTGCAGTTTCTGGAGAATCTAAGATGGCGTCCACTACCCCCGGGCACCCCTTCCAAGTTTTTACATAGTCGCATAGCGATTGGGGTAGCTTCGGTTCTAAGGGTACACCGTGGGATGACACCCTTGGGAAATGGCCCAAAATGGTCCAAAATAACATGATGTTATCCCGGAAATATGCCTAAATGGGGTCATTTCCCAGTGGGGCAATCCCAGGGCGTGATACAAAAACCCTTAGATCGGTGGGATGTGTCCACCCCCAAACTACTACCCAAATGGGACACATAGGGTATACAACCACTACATAACCACTAAAGAGTATACACCCTGATTCCCCTTGGCGGTAGTGATTTGAGGGTAGTGGAAACCATCTTAGATTCGGTTTGGGATGGAAGACATAGAGTCTGAGAGAGAGGTTGCCCTCAGTCAGCCATTTTGGCTCAGACTCCGAGTATCCGGAGTCCGCGGACAAGCGCGCGCTCTCGACCAACAGGAGGAGCCTGAACACCAGACTTGACTTGGTCAGGTTTGGGAATCATAGCTCACTTCTTCGAAAATTCCTTTGTTTCTTTTCTTGTTGTTGTTGTTTCTATGGTTGTTTCTTTTGTTTGTTCATTCGCCTTGTTTCAGAACACCCCAGCCCACTTCCCCCCGATTTTGTCGCTTTTCCTTCCCCCCTCTTCCGAAAGCCCTGGCCCGCGGCCCCCGCGGTCGCGGCCCCCGCGGTCCATGGAGCGCACGGACTTCTGGGATCTGCACAGGCGGCTCGGAGAGTGCTACAGCGCCCAGGCCCCGTCGAAGCGAACCCGTCGAACGCCGTCGAACGCCGTCGAACGCCGTCGAACTCGACGCGTGTCGATTCGTCGGGCTGCTTCGGTCGAACGACCCTCTGGGCGTGTCCCCCCGATTTTTACATTTTTTTTTTGGGGGGGGGGATTTTGGCATCGGCTGTTGGTGGGTTTCAAGGGATACCATCCTTGGGTAGACTGTGGTGGTGGTATTAATATGTATTAACCCCTTGTTTTAATGGTGGTTAGACGCCCTGAAGGTCGGCATCGGAAGACGTCAATGAGTTGAAATCCTCAGTGAATTGGCCCGGTGGATCCATTTGCCTAGTTTGTAACCAAGGGCTTGCCACCCTCTAAACGCCAAAGGAGAACTAGGTGCAGGATGTCGTCCATCCGCAGCAGTTGGTCACCTACTACAGTGGGAACTGGGATCCGCTTGGTGGGTTACTTTCTGTGGGAAATGGCAACGAGTGGCTGATGAAAAAGCGGAGGTTCACTGTAAGAAACCATCTGGACCGCAGGCAATTTCGTCTGCAGCCAATTTCAAAAGGGTATCCTGAGCGAAACACACCTCCAAAAACAGGTTATAACGCGAAAACTGTTTGCCAGCGTTGGTGTTTTCAATTTGAGCCCCCCTCCAATCAACAACATTCTAATAGTGCTACCTTCTCCATTCTTTCCAGGGCTCCTTCTTTCTAGAAAACCTCCGGAAACCCATGGAAACGGATCCGGTTTTCGAAAAGAACGCTGGTTGGAAAGAATGGAAAAGGAATCAACCCTTAACACGGCCAAGAGGGATATACTCCAAGCTTGAGGCCACCAATCGACCACCCATCGGAGGCTACATGTCCTTTTTGGTTGATTTACTGCAAAATAGAGGGCCCTGGTTTACCTGGTGGTTCAACCAACTACCAGGGCATACCAGGGCCATGCATTTTCCCAAAAAGGACACCCATGTACATGAGAATACCACGGACCTCTTCAAGCCCACTTCAGCATCCTGGGGAATTCTTGATTCTAACATCCCAGGGTTGGCTTGTAGTGGGAAGAGATTGATGATGAGCCGAAACAAACTCAGACAATATGGCAAGGGGGGAGCTGTCTATGTGAAAAAGAGCATTAGAACATGGATTGGCATTGTGCTATCACTCCTGTCCTTCCAGTCTGTTGACGCACCATACAACCTTTCACATGTACTCACCAATCAGACTTCTGGATTTGTAATTAATTGTTTCCACCTTTTGGGTTGTCAGTCTATTCACGCATGAGATTCTGATGAGAAGCTGTGTGGCTGTAGCCTTCACTCTCTTCTTGCTGTTGAAGCTATTTGTATTGATGACAGTTGTCCTTGTTTGTTTATTGCTGATGTCTTATTCTGAATAGGGTTCTTAGTCCATGTACGGGTTCTTTGGGGGATTGCCTGATAGGTTGTTTGGTTATTGCTGATGTATTATTCTTTGGGGAATCTGATAGGGACGGTCGCGCAGTCGGTCTGTACGGGTTCTTTGGGTTGCCTAATAGGGATGGTCATGGATTTGTTTGGGAGTTTAGACCATCAAGTGGAGTCCCAAGGATCCGAGCAGTGCAACTTCTGCGAGGCTTTACGAGAGACACTCTGCACATTTGGTTCCTTGGCGCAGGTTCTTTTTTTCATGTCCCCTCAAGCGACACAGGAGCCAAAAGGTGCACAGGTTGGGAGCAATCTGGTTGAGGGCAAACCGGTGTGTCTTGTTTTGGGGGGATGCCCGCAATGGCTTCGGCGTTCCTCTTGGTTGCCTTTGCATAAGCTTATGTCCCCCAGTAGTGCCCATTCCCCCCTTTTTGGGGGGACGGTTGCCCTACTAAAATAGACTACAGAACAAAAACCGGGTAGCCTTATTCTAATCTCTACTGGAGGACCTAGAAGCACTCAAAAATCGGATGCTCTCAAACCGAAGACATCCCCAAATCTGCAGCTCTGCAGCTCCAGGTTGCGGGCCTGGAGTTCATAGAGAGGTCTCAGTCGCTGCATCCCGACAGTGTTGCAAGCGGGTGGGCGAACAGCAGACCGCGGTGGTTGCTGTTGAGGGTTTGGGTTCTTGTTTTGTTGGTTTGGTTAGAAATTGTGGCTAGTTGGCTTGGTCGGTTCGAAATTGGTGCTAGTTGGATTGCTTGGTCAGTTTTGGTTGGCTTGGCTTGGTCAGTTCAGAAACATGCGTTCTGGTTGGGACAGAAGTCTGCGTAAAAAAGAGCTCGCGAACCGTGAAAGAAACGAGCTTACCCGCTTATTCGGTTCTTTTCTCGAGGATTTCTTGGTTCTGTCCGTGGATTGTATTTCAACGTTTTCCACTGCAGGAGCTGTCCTGGGTGAGTGTTTTTGCGAAGGGACGGAGTTGCGTCCGATTACATTTAGTCGACGTGTGCTTTTGAAAAAAAAAAAAAACATGTTGGAGGTAGGCTTGCTTGCGAGTCTCCTTTGACACCCACAAAAAAACATCAGCCCAAGTGGTATCCGCACTGCCTCCTTGGAACCCTTCCGGAACCCTACCCCAAAGAACTGCTCTATCTCCTATTTGGACAGAGACCCCCCAGCACTCTTTCAGCTGGTCGGTTGCGCAAACAGAGAGCTTACAGACCCAGGTGCCACGGGCGGGATTGGCCTGGATAAGTCTTCTACTGTGTGTACAACCTTTGCTTCCATTTGCCTAGGTCCCCCAGTAGTGCCCTTTGACCAATCTTTTTCGGGAGGGCTCCCCCACTAAAATAGACTACAGAAAAAGGGGTACCCTTATTCTAAACTCTCTACTGGAGGACCTACTTGCTTAGGTGTTCTATGATTGTTTTCCCTTGTTGGAATTTTAAAGGGAACCTATCACTACTGGAAAATATGTTTTGTTTTTTTTCCAGGCTTAATTGCTGAGGTTAACCACTCACCTGGGCTTCCAATCGATCCAAGCGCAAAGCCGAGGCAGAGTGTGGGCTGCCGCCCTGCCAAGCCCAAGGCGAAATCCAAGGCGTCGCGCCGATCGATTTGGCTGTGGGTCAAAACCAATGGGATCCCATTTTGGGGGTCCGGTGCGCACCCATTTTAGAACCTATTTTAGTGGTTGGATTGGGATGTTCACTGGGGGCTAACCGGGAGTTTGACCCCTCATTTATTTTTCGCCGATCGATGTTGGGGCAGCTTTTTGGGCGAGCCGGGCGGATTGACGAAGTTCTCCTCGGCACAGCCGTTCCGAAACCCCTGTAAATACCAGCGAACAGCGACTTCCCATGGTTTCAAAGTGATGCAAAGGGAAATGCCACGAGTCATTCCGTTTCACTCAAGAAGTTTAGGTGGGCAATCTGGGGGCCAAGATTCATTGGGAATCCCCGAACAACTCTGACACGCTTGAACACTCTGGGGATTTCGGAAGTTAGTTTTTTTTCCTTGGAGAGTCTTGGGCAATCGTGTTTCTTGTTTGAAAAGGTAGGGTGACCTTCAACATGTGGCCGTGCTCTTGTTGGTTTCCCTTTAAACAGCGAAACAAGCAACTCTATGAGTGTTTTCCTGTCGGTCTCCTTCTAGGCAACCGCACAATGGGCAACGATTCTCAAAGCAGCGGCGATGCTTCTACTCGCCTTCGCAAGTTGCTGGACTTTACAGGAAGGCCCTTGCGTGAGTTTGACGTAACATCCCGGGACTGCTTAGCAACAGAGTACCCTTTTGGAAACCCTTCCCCGAAAGGTGTGTCTAAACAAGGTGTTTCCCTGGTCGGTTTCCCTTTGAGCAACCACAAAAAGGGTACCAACGCAAGAAGCGCACCTTTGGTTTTGCCGTTCTTCCCCCCACTGAGCCAACTTAACAGTCTCATATGTTTTTTCGGTTTCCCCAAAACACTTTAAGCCCGGGCATTTCCGAATTTCTGCCCGGAACACGGGCTGACGGCAGCCGAACACGCCCAAGCCTTTCTCGCTGGGAGAGACAATTCGCATCGGGAGCACATGCGTCCTTGTTGGCTTGGTTTGGTTAGAAATCGATGGGTTTAAATAGATGGGCTCCACTGGTTTAGATGTTTTTTTTTGTTCCATTTACCAGGGAAGCCCATCTTAGATCTCCAAAAGGCCACCTATGCTCGGGAGCGAAGCGGAGCCTGCGAGGCGCCGCACACGGCGCTGGGTTTGCTGGAGCCCATCGAGGATCGGCCCCCGTCGGCCCCGGCGACGCCGCCCCCCGCGCTCTCTGCACCGCCGGGGCTGCTGCAGGCGGGATGGGGCGCCATGGGTTGGGCGTCCCCGTTTGGGATGGGTCTAGGTTTTCCAGCTAGGTGGCCCTTCTTAACCCATCTTTTTTGGGTTGGGAGGGGTGCCCTACTAAAATAGACGTGCTGAAAAAAGTTGGAAACCCTTATTCCAAGCCCTCACTGGAGGACCTAGTGGTGGGACCATGGGCGTGTCATGGCGTGTCGATTCCCTTTTTGGATGCTACGCGGAAACCAAAAAAAAAACACGATTTGGGGTCTTCGAAACAACAAGCTAGATTCTGAAACCAAGGAACTGCTGCAAAGTAAGTACTTGGGGATGCCCATGTTGGTCCCTGTTGTCTCACTTCTCAGTTGTTTGCACTTTATGCTTTGGTCATCGGGCCAGAGCCATGTGACACGCAGAGTTCCTTGACTTTCTTCCTTTGGAAACAATTTTAGCAACATCAACCTAGGGGATGGGTCAAAAGGGGTCATTCCCTCATTCCCTGCTGAGAACCAGCAAGGCAAAGCACAGGCGCAAAAAGTCAATTGGCAAAAATGGAGGCAACGTAGATGTCACAACCTCCACCATTGTGGTTTCCCACCTCTTTACAATGGAATAATGCCAGCTACTTAGATCACATCCTGGTGTATTCCCCTACACCCACTACCCTTTCTCTTCTCAGGGTGTGACATCAAACCCCTGACTAAAAAATAGTTTTGTGCGAACGACAAGTTT